GTTATTTTCGAATTTTGTATCAGAATCATTCAAACAATATTCGTTTGTATCAGAATTCTTCATTGAAAATATATGCGAAATGTAGACGAAAGTGAAATCGAAGAGAATGTTCTGGTACTTGCATATCTCCAAGAAGTGTAAAAATGAAGCATCCATCTTTGAGAACAATTTATTTATTTTGCGCTAAGCATGACAATAAACGTGAAACAAAGGTTAGTGCAGTTGCATGTATTATGTTCTCAATTCCCATTCCTTTCGAATTATTTTGTAGGTTAGCAGGAATAGCAGGTATGTTGATGTAATTTTCGGAGTTCGTAGAAAAAGCATAGTATGTAACGCGTTCATAAACTCTTCTAGACACTCGTTTATTAAACACTCGCGCCGCTCTGCTCCGCTCGTGCTTAAAATACTCGTTACTAAAAGGACGTTTATAACACTTGTTACATAATATACTATTAAGTACTTGGAGGTGAATGTAGATAGGAGATTACAGGTCAAAGAGTATGCTAATTTTATTATAAAAACGATATCATTTAAAACATATTATTTATCCCAATGTACTCCATACTCAACGAGATGGATAAAATGATTAGTCCTACCGCATTTCACTTATTCAGAAACTTCAAAACAGAGCCATGCGCATTATTTTAAATTGTGGAAGACTAACACCTATAAGTGGTACTTTGAAGCAACTGGAATGGGTGACAATAAGATATTTTCTTCCTTACCAAACCTCGATTCTAATCTTCAAAATGAGACATAAAATTGCGCCGATCTATTTACAAGAGAAAGTCAAATATAATGAGCAAATCCACGGATGCAACACTAGTAATATTACTGATTTCAACATTCAACAAATTGGATTAACGCAAACCCAAAATTCAATTTTTTCAATGGCTCGACAGTTTCAACAATCTCCCACAAGACATTTAGAACATAGCATCTCATGCTCTTTTCAAAAGGGAATTGAAATCATCCCAGCGAGCACAAAAACATCTCAGAGATGTTAAAAGTACGAGATTTCGAGATATTGAACCTCCACTGCGATGTTCTGTTCACACATGATATGTCACAAGACTACCTTCGCCCTAGTTCTTTTTAAAGCCTTTTCATGGACACAACAGAACATTTTCAACGCGTCTTGCGCACATTAAATCGCTGTTAAAAAAACCATTTTCGAGGTACTTTTCTGAAGCCTTTTGTCAAAATGAACTTTTGCATTAGGATTCCATTTCCCTTGAATGAAAAAATGCATTAAAAATAGATTGAACATAAAAATATTTTCTTGATATGAAATTAGGTACCTTCTTAATCAGTTTCTGATTAGTGCTTACTACACACAGACATATAATTGGAAATAGGTTTCCCAATTTTTGAAATGTTCTCCACAATGCATAATTTTGCAACTGCGGAGAAGCTGTGTATTGATAAATTCGTACTTTTATATATTGATTACACTGAGGCACCGAACAACACATCTTGCATCTGATGGTCATTATTACAAACTAAATAAGTCTTCTAACACAATAAACTGCACCAAATTCCTATCTGTTCGTTAGCAGCGTGATGTAAGCGTGACACGCTGCAAACGCGAATGCCAATTGCGAACAAGAAGAAGAAAATCGAAAACAAATCATAATTCATCGTATTGTGACGTAAGCATGAGACGTTGTGGTGGGGCAAACAAAGAACGGGCACAAAAGAACAAAAACAATACTTCCAATATCCTTCTAAGACCTCTTTGGGAAGAGCATATTACGCCTCAAAAAAAACATCCTCATGCCTACATTTCTGAAACATCCCAAAACATCCCAAGGATACCTCTCAGTAGGCAAACAAAGAAATGCCACAGAAGAACAAAAACAATACTTATATCCTTCAAAGACCTCTTTGGTCAGTGCATATTAAATCCAGTATCCACTATCTGACATGTTTTTCATAACTTTAATTGCAATATGTATATATGTGAGAAGTATGTTTATGTGTGACAATTGCACTCATTTAACTATTAAGTGTAACCTCAAAATGTAAAATGTGAATTAGTCTTTAACGTCAATAGAAGATTTATGTTTATATGTATATTTGCTGAGAAAGTATCTGTATAATTTATTTATAATCATTTCAACGAAATTTATTCCGATTATAGACTACTGCATCGTTATCTGGATTCTGGATAGCCTGGAATTGGGATCATGAAATTGTTAGACACTACAGACAAACAAGAATCCTTCAAAATAATCAGGGCCCTAGGGACATAATGCTCATCGTGAATTCTCTCAACGATCAAATGAATGAAAAAAGCCAGGGAGAACAAAACTGAATTGCTCGATGTCTGGAGATAACATAAAAGTCAGTGCCTGGAATAGTCCATTCAGCTATATTGGTGTTTTTCGATAGCCGATGAATATATTCATCACGAACGTTCTTTTTGGCGGATGATAAATAATGACAAATCTATAAATTATGAGGGAAATGCTTTTTTTCACCATAACGTGATCCTTATATCTTCAGGAAGAAATGAAAATGTAGATATAAAACCGAACAAAACATTATCTGACCAGCATTTTCTATTGCTTCAGCTCTAACCTGTTTGACTAAAAAAAAAGTAGTAGATCAGATATCTACCCTCAATAGAAAGGCGTAAAATCTCCTTTTTTCGTGGTGTCTGAATATTTCTAGTGAAAATCACCTCCTGATAGAATGTGTTATTTTAATATTTCGAATAAATGTAATTTTTTTCTGAAGCCGAACCTGGATTTTCACTTCGCCCGATAGGTGAATGAATTCAACGTCTCAAGTATAAGCTCCATACCAAATTTTAGAAAAATATACTGGGTAGTTCAATACTTATAGACGAATGAATAATTATTCGAAATCGATAAATCGCCCTGTATCTCCGTTATGAAGACTCTAAGACCTATCAAATAATGTATTTTCAGAACCACCTTGGTGACCCCTATCTATCATTGAAATATTTCCCTTTACCTGTGAAACACCCTGTATACCTATCAACATTTTGCTGTGTCTCTCCTTCCACATGGTTTCAATGAAGCTATTGGTTGGCGGTTAGATCACTCTTCATCATCACTCAGGGATGGCTATAAGTGTGGCAAATTTCATACAAGGTGTCCCAAAATAATGTTTGCATACTTTGGGATGTCATTCTGCAGATGGGAATGAGGAAAAAATGATTTTCAACATGTCCGAAAAGGGCGCTGGAATCCTTCGAGGATAGGTCTTTCAATGCAGTTTTTTCAATTATCTCATTTGTCAGGATTAGAGATCAATTCAATGTACTATTGGCTAGACTAAGACTGAGTTCTTTAGGATTAGTGAACACAAAATTGAGAACTGAACTTTTCAAACAAAGGATTAATAATGTCTGTATGTACATATATTTAGGGATTATTGAAATTATTGAAATTGATCGTTATGGTCGAATTATTGTGAGATGCTACAGAAACCATCAACCCATGCGTAATTTCTTTGCTTGAAAAGTTCAGTTCTTGTGGTACAGATGATGAACTCTTCATAGTGGCTGGTGAAGGATTGGAGGAAGTAGTTTCGCCAGAGAGCAGATTAGCAGTCTTCGTTTGATTGGAGAACGAAGTATCTACATAGCCTTCCGCCACGGTACTCGATTTCCATCCTCCCAATCTCTTTAATTGTAGAACATCTCCTCCATTGTTTGTGAACAAAGTTGCTGCTGTACGCCGGAAACAATGCCCGGTATACTCGCCGACGTTATTTAGTTTCAAAAACGATGCTATTTTTTTCAGAAATCGCGATATGGAATTGTGTACAAAGACTTGATTGATAATCTTTCCAAATCTCATTCACATGAAAAACCTCTCATTTCAAATTCGTGAACGGAGTTCCATATATTTCTTTACAATTTCAACCCATTTAGTGTTTAATATCAGAAACGATCGTGCTTGATATGTTTTTGTGTGAGGAATGATGATGCTGATCTTTTCTTCCAAAATATCAATATCTTGGACTTTCATCTTAAAAAGTTCATCACTTCTGCAGGCTCCCGAAAGGCCAATTACCAAACCAACCTAAAATGTTGAAAAATATTAATAAAAATAACTATTTCATTAGTGTTAGAATAATAACCTTCAGAACAAGAAATTCTTCTGGTGCTTCATCTAAGAAAGTATCAAGATTTTCTTGGGTAAAGGTATTTGATTTGCTCGGTTTATAATTGGCATTTTTTTTAAAAGCCATTAATTTTCCATATTTTGATATGTCAACCTTGTCTCTGATAATTATAAGGTTGTTTTTATCATGGAATACGTAGACCATGAGGTTGACAATTTCTTAGTCTTAGCTATTTCACTGAAGCAAAAGTGTTTTCTGATGCAGCTTTTGTGACCCCTTTTTTGGCGGACCAATCTCTGTACGTATTATATGCTTTATCATACCTCGGTCTACTTTTTGGGGGGAGAAGATTTTCTTCAACTTTCTCCGCTGCTTCCTTCATGTCTGGCGGTGTGCACTCCAGCTCTACATCCGACATTGTATAAAAAAAATGAATCACACTGACAAGAGCTGACAAATTTGAAGTGTTTATTGAACACCTTAGAAACGACAGGAACACATTTTCGCCTACTCACTATTGGAGAAATAAGTTATTTGTTGTTAGTTGTCATCATCATTCTATGGTGGTCTTTGTAATTTTATTGTGTTGACGTTTGAGAAGAAATGATGAAAAATTTGCTTCTTTCCGACTTTTCATTTACTCACTATCTCGAGATATTAGTTCACTGAGGCTGAGGCATGTAACGACAGTCATGTAACACTTCCCACCTCGGTACCTCTATGTAATATACTATTATTCGTTGACAGAATTTTTAGACTAGGTCTTGTTCTATGAATCGTCTTCCCTACATTTTCTGTCTTCTTTTCTTCTTCTCATGTCTTTTCTATACAATTTGTAATATTGTCTTAGTGGAAAATAAAGTATTATGAATAGTTTTTGCTTTATTCTGTTACAGGTATGCGCCAAATGCAACACAATAAAAACCCCCGTGGCAGATCTATTTTCTGTCGATTTGAGTCTCGATCTACCCTTATTCGAGTCCCACTTCCACGGTGGTCTACTGACGCTTAAATGCGTCTCCAGAATAGGGGATCTGTATCAGCAGGACAGCCAAATAACTTTCAGCAATGCCAGAGACCCCGTCCCAGCCAAAGGTGAGAGATTATAACCCTCCTTAATCCTTTGGGCAGCTGGGATCTACAAGGTGATTCTTGGGTATGTGAAGGAGCGTTAGGGGCGTCGAAACATTTGAGAAACAGAAGAATAAGATGGATATCTGGATATGGTCGACAATATTGTCAAGAATGGATCGAAACTATAATAATTTTATTGGGAATATTTGAAATTCCCATTTCATTTAAGAACAATACAAATAACCCAGTTTACAGGATATCAGTAGAAAATTACGATATCCGAAGGAAATTATTCAATCCTATTATTATTCAAGTAAAGTCGCTGACAGACAAAAACTGCTGGTTTTGGATTCTTCCTAAACGAGGTGAATACATTATTTTTTATGCTGAATCAATAACCCCTACCAAAACCGACATGTAAAGTACAGTTTTTCCAAATTCGCTAATAAAATAGTAAATCTGAACTTCGTGAGTAGCAGTTCCAATCCTCCAACGAAAAGCGAGCATTTCGTGAGTACGTTTTGTAATATTACTAGTTTTAGTTTTCTTGTTTTGTTTTTATTTGAGTTAGGTGTATATCTTGCTGGGAAATTGGTCAATTTATCTCATGTCCGAATTGTTTTTGATAAAGATGAATAAATATGTAAAGTGGAGTTTAATTCTCTGATTATAATTTTCATGAAACCTCTTGCAAGCGAGTAAGTTCGAGTTACGATTGTTGGGGTTAGAACCCACTCGTGACATTATGGATATAACAGATATAACACTTTGGTCTACCATCGGTTGTTCGAGTATCTGGTGTCGTATTATTTTGGTACCTAGTGTTGTATGTGTTTCCTGCATGTGATTGCCCATTCAGAGAACTTTGGCGTTGTTGACTATAGCGACCTGAAGAATTTTGCTGCTGCTGAAAATTTGGCCTATTCTGGAAACTATACCTAGGTTGAAAGTTACCTCTCGGGTTGAAACTATGTCTCGGTTGGTAGTTTGATTGTCTAAGTGGATAGTATTGTGGACGTGGGTTTCTATAATGATTGCTGTCGAAAGGTGGACTCCTATCAGGTATATTCTGGTTATACAGTGTGTCCCACTTACCATGCTCACCATGGGTATCGTTTTAACGGTGAAAGATACGAGGTCGGTTAAATGACACCAAATGTGGAGTTTGTCAAGGCTAACTATAATGTGAAAAAATATTTTGATAAAATCTATTCGTTTTTGTTTTATACGCAAAAAACAGATTTTGATCATTTTCATGTCTCCTTTTTTCAAAGTGATTTCGAAAAAAATATGAAATTTATACCAACTCTTCTAGAATTTGAGATATCAGCACAAATTTTAGTTTTTCAAATGTAGGTCATAGCTCACCGAGTAGCTCACTATGACTTAGTTACAAATAACTTTTTTTTCTCTTACAGATGATATGTCGCAGTAAGAGTTTTGTGTTGATAACAACGGAGTTATCGTCATTTAAACAAAACAAAAAAATATTTGGAAGCCGACATCTTGAATTCATAAATTTCAACAAAAAAATCATGATCTCCGACCTCAAAAACCCATACTCACCAATTTTGAATAGAATCGGAACAAATCTTGTCCGCCATCTTGGAGCAGCCATTTTTTTAATTTCAACAAAAATTCCATAATGTATTGTCACCGAAATTATGAACACCTGCCAAATTTCAAGTTAATCGGAGTTATGGAATTTTTGATGAAATAAAAAAAAATGGCTGCTCCAAGATGGCGGACAAGATTTGGTCCGATTCCATTCAAAATTGGTAAGTGGGGGTTTTTGAGGTCGGAGATCATGATTTTCTTGTTGAAATTTATGAATTCAAGATGTCGGCTTCCAAATATTTTTTTGTTTTGTTTAAATGACGATAACTCCGTTGTTATCAACACAAAACTCTTACTGCGACATATCATCTGTAAGAGAAAAAAAAGTTATATGTAACTAAGTCATAGTGAGCTACTCGGTGAGCTATGACCTACATTTGAAAAACTAAAATTTGTGCTGATATCTCAAATTCTAGAAGAGTTGGTATAAATTTCATATTTTTATCGAAATCACTTTGAAAAAAGGAGACATGAAAATGATCAAAATCTGTTTTTTGCGTATAAAACAAAAACGAATAGATTTTATCAAAATATTTTTTCACATTATAGTTAGCCTTGACAAACTCCACATTTGGTGTCATTTAACCGACCTCGTATCTCTCACCGTTAAAACGATACCCATGGTGAGCATGGTAAGTGGGACACACTGTATACTTGTGTAGAACGGTTCCTATCCTCAATACTTCCCAAAAACATGTGGTAATTTCTGGAGGGTCCGCTTTGACATCCTATCACGTGTTGACATGTATTGCAGGTAGCCGATTTTATCGTAGTCGAACACTTCCGTACTTCGAAATTTTGGAGAGAAGTTGTCTTCACTTTCTTCTCCAATTTCTACCCTAAGTTTTGATCCAGCTCTAGTTACGCGTTTATCTTCATTTTCCATTGAAAGAATAACCTACTTTGTTCATTGTTTCTAATTATTCAACACGTACTTTGTATTTGAACAGAAATTGGTACATGTTAGGATATGTACGTGTTAAAATATGTAGACAAATCTAGAGAATACCAGATCAATTATTAATAATCGAAACTTCAATATATATAATATATATATATATATTTCTGATCAAATTGTAATTCACTTTACCTATCAACAAGTTTTTCGTGTATTGAGGAAAAAAGAGGTTATAGTATTTTAGCTCGCTTCTATTTTCTTCCAACCAAAGTAGTATTTCACTTGTCATTTGAAACTCTTATACAGTTGAGGATTAATTGATTCATTCATTGTGAGTTAGCTATTCGAATACCTAATTATGGTGTGTTGAGAAGAGAAAAAAAAATAGATGTCATTGCTTTGAAACTATTCTGTACCTATGCAAATTAGTTTATTTTGTCAAATTTGTCTTGAAAAATGATTTGGAAATGCTTATTTCCACTATTTCCCTCAATTGAGTAATCAAAAATCCGTCGGATCAAATCAAAAAATTTCCCGCAAATCGCAAGAATTTTAATCGAAATTCTTATTCAGAAAAGAATGCATATATTTAGAAAATTATTAGTCTGACTTATGAGCTGAAATTCATTTGAAAGATACATGTAATAAAAACTCCATCAAATTTAACTACAGTTAATATTGAAGCCCTTAAAATTTCGTCGGAAAATATCAATGAACGATGGTTCTAATAATCATTTATGTTAAAATTACGGAAAATAAATAAAAGTCATTTTGTTTCGATTTGAAATTCTTGTGGAGTATCTCGCTGTTGATCGAATTGCAACACATAAAAACTCACTTCAACTTAAATCAGGTTGATTAGGAAGAATTAACATTCAAGAAAGTGCCCGGCGCCTCCACCATAATGTCACGAGTGGGTTCTAACCACCACAATCGTAACTCGGACTTACTCGCTTGCAAGAGAATTCAACTCCACTTTACATAATTCATTCATCTTTATTAAAAACAATTCGGGCATGAGATGAATTGACCAATTTCCCAGCAAGATACACCCAGCTCAAATAACAACAAAACAAGAAAACTAAAACTAGTAATATTAAAAAACTTACTTACAGAAAGGCTCGCTTTTCGTTGGAGGATTGGAACTGCCACTAACGAAGTTTAGACATGATGCAAAAATGTTCAAGATTTACTTTTTTGTTAGCGAATTTGAAAAAACTATACATTACGGTCCACTGTCCGAACCACAACTGCCGGTTTTTTGTCAAATGCCTTTTCATGTCGGTTTTGGTAGTGGTAATTGATACAGCTGAAGTTGAACTTTATCTCCTAGAAACTAAAAAGGATGTACTAGAGGTCATCAAGAATAAACAACATTTTTACGGTTGGTTATTTGGGTTGGACGTATACCTAACTTGTTCCCGATTTCGGCAGATTTGGCATTTCAACATTTCATACCCATGCTGGAGATATAAATACACCATATTATAGTTGAGTATTTTAGTTTCGATCGGGAAAGCCTTCAAGATTCACATACTTACATGATCTGTATTTCATTTGTTATTTCCGGGATCTGATTGATTGGATAACTTGATTTTGAAAAATCACGGCCAGCCATACTATTTTGTCTTACCCAACAACTGCATTTGATTACCGAGCACAGTGGAATATGGAGAGAAATGAATAATTGCCATTATTATTGTTGACATGTTGATATGCTCACTAACCTAACATTTTCCACTTCCCTATTTCCTATACCTGTCACTGGTGCGGTATAGAATACACAAATACGTCAATCTGTGGTTGTTTTTTATATTGAAACTACAATTAGAATACCCCTGAAAATGCAATGAACCTGATCTGTAACTGCACAAATTGCAACAATATATGGTAGTCTGAGGTCTTGTCTCTATCTTCTCATACTCATATTATTTAAAATAAGGGTATTATATGATATAATTATATAAATGCAAAATTCGCTTGTCAAACAAAGTGTCACTTTTGTTTTTTATGAAACAATCTGCTAATATCTAGATTAACAAAGGAATTTGTTTTTGGAAAAACTGTTCGTCATTGAAGAAATGATAGTCAGGCACGAAAAAGTAATTCTGCCAACTTCTCTATCTATCCATCTATCTATCTATCATACTTACGACGAGTCTGAACTATCATCCTATTATTTTTTAGTTGCAACTGTAAATCAGTCAAAGAAAACTATCTCATGAAATATCTCAAAATTTACAGTTGAAAAAAATGTTTGACTGCTCAATTTTCAATTCCAACTGTGCATTATTTTCATTTTGATATCTCCCAATTTACAGTTGCAATGGTAGAAAAGCGCTTATTCACAGTTGCAGCTGTAAATTAGATGTGTAAAGAAAGTTATCTATTTTATAAATAGGAGATATTCAAGATAAAAGTGTATTCAGCCTAATTTACAATTGCAACCATGAATAATTTTTTTTCAATATCTCCCAATTTACAGTTGCAACTTCTATTACTAACCGATCATAAATACCATTTCGACTTCGTTCGTAGGTGTACTTCTTATTGTTATTTATTTTTTCAGTGACAGCAAATAACCACAGTACAGCCAATGGAACAAGAAACATCCGTTTCCTGATGCTCTTGATTTATTTGGCATGTGTATTTTAAAAAAATGTGATTTATTAATAATTCCAAAATGTATATTCGGTGAAATGAAGTAATATACTTGTGATGATCGATTTGCTGCAAATATAAAATTAGATATGAATACAATGTTTGTAATGTTTCATTCGGACATTCCAGAAGATGTGTAATGAATTAATCATAGATTATATTATTATGGATTTTAAATAAACGTGATAAAGTTCATCTAGAGTTTGTTTCCACTTCCATGATTTCCAGCGTTCACCTGTTTATATTCAGTTCATTCTTTCTCATCGAGAATAAAGTATCTCGTTATAATGTCAAAAAAGAAGAGCGACAGAATCTAACGAATAAAAGAATATGATAGCTTTTATGAAGTGCTAACGGAAGGTAGAACCGAGGAAGTTGAAATTCATATTCAAATACGAGATGACAGCTGTACTTTCAGGAAACTTGGAAACTTGAAACAAAACCCCATGCATAGGCGTAGAAAATAGGTATACGAATCAATTACTGTTTGTGGATATCCGCGCCTTAAGAGCAGCCATCTAAAAACTATAATGTACTTTCAACGCCAGCTTGAAACTTTTGAAATGAAATGAAATTAGAAAATAGTATATTGTTTAACGAGCACGGAATGATAGTGGTTTCCTACGAGACTGAAGTAACAGATAACAGCGGCATTTTCGATTTCTTCAGCTTGTGGTCATCTGATTTCCTGTCAAGTAATGCTCATCTATTACACAGAGCTGTCATTGCTTCACATTTGACATTCCATGAGCGATGAGATGTTTTTGAAATAATAACACAATGGAGTCATTGCGATATCAGATACGGAAATATAATATTGATGACATACAAAGTACCTCATTGACGTATCGAACACAGTAAATCAAGAGCAATTTTGTGTTATAGCCGTAGAAAATAGATATTTACGATACGATTATCGTAAAGACTCATATTACGATATGAGATGGGAAAGTTGTCGAACGAGGCCAAAGGCCGAGTTTGATAACCCATCGATTATCGTAATATGAATTCACGATACGAATATAGTACAATATTTTACCTACTACCAAAAACGCTAATTATTTAATCAAAAATAAGGGTTGGGCGTATACATACTTGTTATGAATCAATTGTGTTCTCGGTTGTCACTCATTCTTCAAACTGTCAACTTTGACGCGTTCATTTCAATTTGATGTAAGAATTTATCTATATAAAAATTTCCGATCACGAATTTATTGATCCATATATAGAAATTGCGGAGAATCAAGCAATTCATACTTCAGTATCTGCTATGTTCAGAATCAATAATTAGTTCTTATTTCTGTTTTCTTCGACTAAAACGATGGAAATTGAAATTGTGTTTTCACTAGTGCGGTAAAGTAACACTTTACTGCACTAGTGCGGTAAAGTATCTCATTACGATACTAGAATCAGTGTCGTAATGTTCAACATTACATATTGGTAGTAGGTAAATAGATTTTGCTAGATTGAAGGGACGCTGGCGAGTTACGAGGACCCTTTATCAAGTTTATCAATCTTGAATAACTCATGAAGTCAACCGCAGTGTTCTATCTCACTGTCTCACTTTTCTTTTTTCCTAATTACACTATTCAACAAATACAAGTTCCATTTATTTTTATGGACGCCAAAATGCAGCAAAAAAATTTCAATGGTTTTATTTATCGTATTATACAGGGTGTATCTAAATAACACCGGAAAAATACAGGGGGTGATTCCTTGTGATTTCAGGAAATAAAATTCATACACACATGTGCCCTAATTTGCTCCGTTTTCGAGATACAGGGTATTAATATTTCCATGAAAAATATTTTTTCTATTCATTTCCCAGTTGTCATTTTATTAATTTCAATAACGAAACGTTGTGGTTTTGTTAATAGTAGGATGAAGCTTCTTCTAGTGCATTTAAATTCGAAATAATATTTCCAAAGGCGTCACAGTGGATGAATTTATCGATATTCATTTTTTATCAGATTGAACTGTTGAAATAACAATTTTTTCATTCTCTCTGTGATCTATGTATCTAGCTTAGTTTTTGAGGAAACAATGAAAATTCGACTTGACTCCAAATTTTAATTTAGGTGTACTTTGTCCGAAAAATTCATAAAAAATGGTTACGAAAATCAACATGAAAAAAAACATGGTAAGCCCTGATCATTGGAATTATATTCGGCAAATCTGTGATGATGTAGATATCTTGATACCCTTTCTACTTACACAAAAACTGAATCCATTGAGAAATTCAATAAAGGTCTTAAGCTGTTCACACTGCATATATTAGATTTTCCACTATTGGCACTCATTTCCTAATTTGATGTTTTTATGAATTTCAAGTAGTTCAAGTTGAGTTCAAGTCATCATCTGAAGTTGTTGGTAGCTGTCAATTGAGTGACATCTTACATGTGAGACACATCCACTGATTGTAAATTAGTGTTGGAAGGTAATGGACTAGTATTGTTATGGCCTACCTATATTCCAAATGACCGGAATGGAAAGGGCTACTGTTCTCAAATGGTAAACTATACTTTCTTCCTCAAGCGATATTTCAGAAATATAAAAGGGACGATCGTCAGAAAAACAATTGAAATTTGAAAGAAGTCATTGTGTTTTGAAACATCGGACGACGAACGCGATGATAACTAGATAGCATGTTGTACATAACCATAGCAATAGCGGTGAGTATGCTGACATACACTCGAGTATAGCTTCTTATCGGATGGCAACAGTGTTCAACAAATCATTAATTAAATTACACACACAATCAGAATCACGTTTGTTCCTTAACAATTTGATGTTGTGGAGATTTCAATTTCTGAAATAGTATTCGAGAGAAACAATAAGCCAGGTCGTGGTGTCTCCGAATTCCTTGTTGAAATAAGTTGAAATGTTCTGAGGCCCACCGACCAGAGATGTATAGAAATTTAACTGGTGGGCTCACTCTTCAATTGTTTCGTCAGACTAACTCTCGATATGGAAGAATTGCAAGCGAGTTTTGGACGTGGGGTTCAGGTATTTGCGATAGAGGCGCCATAATCGGAAAATCGTTCAAAACCTTGGTTCTGTGAGGGATGAATCTATATCCATCATTGTTCTGTGGTCGAATAAATACTGTGCTCAACATTTTCATTCGAATTTCAATTTGAAATAAAAGCAAGCAATCTTTTTTGTAGCCGATTTTAATAAGCTTCACTTCTTTCATGACATGAACCTATTTGAAGCATGAAATCTTATGAATTTCCTCTTTGAAGAACCAGAACAAAGAATGTATCAACTATTGAAATATACCAATATCGAAAATCATAATAGGCAGATATGGTAACTGGTACTCACCTTAGAATTTATCCACTCCAGTTCACGCTAATATTTTAAATCACTGAAATAATACTGTTGTAGAACAGAAATTTTCTTCTTTCTATGGTGGATTAGGTATTATACACAAAATTTAGAAACTACTGAACTCGTCCCTAACGAACACTTTACCCCAATCTCAGAAATAACCATTTTTTCAGCTCAAGACTATTTTTGACATGACGTTTAGATCCTTTGATCAGGAATCAGGTCACTGCTCTGATCCAAATCATATACGTATCCAAATATTTATCGGTCGGTAATATGTTTCCTGTAAATATGGATTGTAACCAGAATGAGCTTAGCGAGATTTACCCACGTCAAGTATGTTCAAAGGTTTATCAGAGTAGGCGCCATCGAGAAACTTGCAAACGACCTTCAATAGGGAGCAAGCGCACCAGTTAAATTTCTATACATCTCTCACCGACCCATTGAAACGCTACTGAATCCTTTTCCTATGTGAGTGACGTAACCGATGAATAACAACCGGCAGCAATATTCACTCCAGTGGACAATATCGATATTCTTTTGTTCTGCAGCTGGAAATGCTGTACCAGAATCTAAACGGCAGATGGTTAAAGATAAGAGAGAATGTTATTTGTAGCTGAATATTGGTTATGTTTACCTGTTGCTCGCAAGATATGTACAGGATTTCATGAAGGGTATTGTTGAGTTTTTGTTCGTTTCGAAAAACTTCAAGACTAAATCACCTAATATTTGAGGCTTATCACTTACGACAGATAGAACATGGAAATATCATTGGTTATGTTACAAAAACATTCAAGACATTCAGTGAATTTTTAGCTGGCCCATGAACTTGTTGGAAAGTGAGTCTATATCAACTGTTTCAATTGCCCTTTTGAAACCAAATGAAAAAAACACACAATGACTTTCTCCTCATGTAGATTCATTTTCTAAGAAGTAAGAATTGTATCAACCACACAATGATTCATTCAGGACACAGCTAACGCTTTTCTGGCAAGGAAAGATATTTCGGTGAATGTTCATATGTCTTGTCCATCATATAGGATCACGTTTTTTATCAACTGTATCAGCTTGTAATTCAAGGACATTTCTTGAAAACGAAAATCCTAGCTGAATATAAATTCATTCATTACTTCCACCTCACTTTCTTCTCATCTTTCTTTCGATTCATTTTTTATCGATTTCTATATTATCCAAAGAAGCGTGAACGTCTGGGATCATAGAAAAAACTGAAACTACAGTGGGAATAGATTCTGTTATAGGAACGAATACTAAAATGATATGAACTTTTTTGTAGTCCTCGGGAATATAATAATATTATGGAAGCCGGAGACATAATGTTACCATCAATCGTTCTGGGGTATCTGATAAAAAGTTCATATAAATCAGATATCGAACAATGACACTTGATAGATAGATTTTCCGAGATAAAAAATTAAAAGAGCAGATGTTCTACCTTGATGAGGAATCCATACGAGAAAATTGTATCAAAAAGGATTCCAGGAAAGTAGTGAAATCAATTCACCCATGAATTAAAGAGATCTTCTCATGATACATCATTGACGCATCATATTGTGCAGTCCGTAATCATTTTCATCCAAGAGATGAACGAACTTCAAAGGATAATGTACTAATGTAGTAGGTATTAATTCAAGATGGAATGAATTGGAGTGTTCTCGCAAGTAAAATTGAATTGAATGCTTTGACGCGATCATTGGAACTGGATGTTTGAGGAATTGAATGAAAAACATAGATTTCGGGAGACAAATAACAACTACTTTCCTGGCTACATCGAAATCAATAGGCTTTCAGAAAAGAATCACTTGTATCGGTATTCGTTTTTACTAGTCGATGCATAGATTTCGGAAAGATGTTCTGCGTGTCATTCGCCAGGAAAGTAGTTGTTTTTCTCCCGAAATCCCTTATTGTTGTTCATTTTAAAAACATTGTGTGGAAATGACTTTGAGCTCCCTGTATTTTTCATTTATTTATTTATTTATTCAATGAGGACACCCAACAAACAAACAAAAAGCTTGTCCAATTACAGGGTAACAAAAAAAACCATCTTGATTTACAATGCGAGCTATGCTAGTCGCTAAAGTTAAAGTTAACAATATATAATAATCATTAAATAAACTACCACTCCTATCGAGGATTAAGGAGAAGAAGAGAAAAAAATATATATATATACCTGAATGTAGTGAGCCTTAGGTGGCAGCTCTTACCATATAATATAGTTAATTTGTGCTTGAGTTGTTTCTTGAACATTGTGAAATTGTTGCTGAAGATGTCAATATCATGCATGGTCACAGATTATGTTATAAAAGTTCATGCATCTGATAAGGGGAGAGTTACAATAGTAATTTGTTGAATATGGTGGTGGATAGAATGTAAATCGATTACGTGAAATACGGGGATTACAATTTAGTGATAGTTGTTGCAAGCATGATGCTGAGTCAGTGAGGTTGTTTATAAGTTTGAATACAAAAGACGAGTCATAGAATTCGCTTCTCAAGAATAACGGTTCAAATTTGTAGAAATCGAGATTCACTCCATAATTAATATAATGCCTATGACGGAAAAAACGATAATTCAGATTACTAATCAACCTCCTTTGGACAGACTCTAACATATTTTTCATAGACGGGATTCCATATTACAGAGTTGTACTCGAGGATAGGTCTCACTAAATTTTTGTACATTGTTAAAATTGAAGTGTGATTTCTGAAGTCGTGAGTACTGCGTAGGATGAAACCTAATGTTTTCAGGGATTTTCTGACTATACATTCAATGTGACTTTCAAACGTAAGCTTTCGATCTAAAATTATGCCAAGGTCTTTTATTTCGTTGACAACAACGATCTGTTGGTTGTTTATGTAAAGGTGTTCATGAGGGGGGTTAAGGATTTAAGAGAATAGAATCTGATGTCTGTTTGTGAGGCAGTAAGCGGAAAATCTATTTAGGTCCTCTTGAAACCCGTGGTAGTCAGATGGCTGCCTAATTTCTTTATAAGCTTTCAAATCATCTGCAAATAATTTTTTCTTGAAATTTATAAACTGGTCCTCAATGTCGCTCACGAATATACTGAATAGTAGTGGGCCTAGGTGTGATCCCTGGGGTACACCGGACTCAATGAACCTTCTCTCTGATCTAAAACCGTTCAAGAGGACATACTGAGATCTCTCGGAAATATATGAAGTCAACCACCCCAACAGGTTTCCGTGCACACCGAAATTCCCAAGCTTTACAATTAAAGTAGAGTGATGTACTTTATCGAAGAGAAATCGGTGTACACGACACCGGTAGAGGCACCGTTTTCCATGGATTGAAATATGTCCTGCACAAAATGGACCAGATCAGTAAGTACACTTCTTTTTTTATAAAAACCAGGTTGGTGTACAGTTTTGTGATTTTTTACCATGTGAAATTTATTCAACATTTCATTCCACTTCGAGCATTGTAGCCACTCCCGTATGAGAATTCCAGTTTTGGAGTGTTTCTTTCCTTCTTTTCAACTCAGATGGCGTTGCTTTCATGTTGTCTATGGAGAACGCCTCTCAGGGAATAAAATGTCGACTTGATCTTTGTTTGACCAGGCTACGCCTAGTCGGCAATCATAGGACTGCTGGCTGGAGACTACCCTGCACTGATGAGAGTCAAAGAGCTCGAAACCGGTCTGCAGGTGTCTAGCGTGGCCTGGCTAAATCGAAATCAATAGGCATTCAAGAAAGAATAACTTCATTGAATCAGTATTCGTTTTTACGAGTCGATGCATATAGATTTCGGGAGAATGTCATTCAATGTTCAGCGTGGCAGTAGTCAGGAAAGTTGTTGTTTTTCTCCCGAAATTTCTCATTGTTGTTTATTTTATGAACATTGTGTGGAAAATGACTTTGAGTTTTTTGTATTTATTCATAGATTGTTTTATGTCAGAATCAGAATTATCAAGTTTCCATTGTTTAATAATCGATGACTCTCAAATTGGTTCCGTTCATAAGTAGAAATATTTGGTGTTGATTAGATTGATATCTTCTCTATAAATGAACATCATATCATACGACTTGTATAGTTGTGACATCCCGTTTCGAATAAAAATGATTACCGTTACTCTTTCTATCGTTTTGAGCCTTATATTCTCCATCACCTGTAAGTACCTACCTGTATTGAGAAGGAATATCCTCAGATAAATTATGAACATGAAAAAAATGATATATAAATTACGCAACACTAATTTCGTCGCACCACAAAATTTTGCCCTTGTTATAATGTGAATAACTTTTTTCTGTTTCGAACAATTTGAATTCGGTTCACACTGTTCGCTATATAGCGCAGTCCTTCAGCCGAATTCAGAATTTCTTTTCACGTCCTGTATGATGAGTATCACTTTGTCATACATCCCTGTATGAGATGAAAATAAATGATCTTTTCAGTTATGGTATGAATTATAGGTTGAATTTGGTGTTAAAATAGTACCGTATATCAGCGTCACCTAGTTGGGTCATAATATTTTTCTTTTTCAGCTGCTACAAGACTAGGTATAGTGAATGGTGAAGTTGCTGATATACGGGACTTTCCCTACATGGTAATATCGGATAACAAACCTTTTTCAATGTGTTTCCTGAGCCAGATTCATTTGTAGGTCGCATTTTTAGATGTGTTTAGTGACTATTATAGGGAGGTCGAGTGTGGGGCTTCGATTCTTGATGAAAAAACACTACTAACAGCTGGACATTGTGTTCTTGATGGGTGAGTGCTATTTTTATTGATTTTTTTTATAAATTTCGGCATGAGGTATACATACTGTGTGTAGCAGTATCCATGTAATACTAATATAATAATAGAATAATAATAATCCATTATTCCAGCTTTTTTGGGATTTTCTCTCCTCGTCTCTATAAAATGAAAATTTGAGAACTATTTCAATATACGTATAGTGAGGACACATCAGATGAATTGCCCCAAAATGTCACTGCGTTTGAAGAATTCTCCTATCAGAGAGCCTAAAAGAAAAATTCACTAGTTTGTCAGTGACAATTTGTATTGAAAAATTCTTGGAAAAGAGAAATAAAGGTGAATTGAAAATTGGGTGAATCGAAAATTGGGTGAAACGAAATGTTGGCCCAACGACATATTTGAATGTGAAATGATTGTTGATAATTCCCGTTTCATTGAATCCAAGAAAATGTGGCATCATTTGACAACAACGCATCTTTCGGGTATGTTCGGAGACGGTGGGTGAATCGAAAATTGGGTGAATCGAAAATTTGGTAAATCAGAACCTTCCCCTTATAGGATCTATAGACACAATCGTATATAGATGAACTGTCAATATTTTTTTGTAGTATCAATTTGGAATGGATGAGAATTGGAATTGGACATACGAATGTATCTCAAGCTACTTTGGTTAAAGTAGCAAACGTATACCAGCATGAAGAATTTATTTTCGCTCCACCTTTCAAAAATGACATTGGAATAATCAAGGTAAGAACGTCAATTCTCTCCGTAAACTATCATTATGGACGGTGCAATGAAGTGGTTATATCTCAAGCTCATGCTTATTTTTTCAGCTAGTGGATCCTCTTCCTTTAGATGCGAGTATTCAACCTCTTCAACTTCCTCAAAAAGGAGAAGCCACACCTAAAGGAAAATCAGCAGTAGTCGCTGGATGGGGTAGAGACCAGGTATTCGCTTCATAAAGTATACAGGGTGACATTTCGAAAGTTTCCCACCCCCAGCATCTTCCGTGCAGTGCATAATATGAGAAATAGAAAAAACAGGTCGATTTTATTTTCAAGGGGGACACTTCAACTGATTAGTTCTAGCCTCCTAGGAGAGGTAGATGTTACCCTTTGGATCTCAAATTTCAATATGAAGGGAATCATGTGGTACACTCGTCTTCAGTGATCATATCGCACATGGACGGTGTCATCTCCGATCCTACACAGTAAAAAATAGAGTGAACTTTAACACTATACCTGTTCCCAGGAGGACCACTAAACTTTAGAGTAAATGATTTAACTCTATAGTTTAGTTTATTATAGTGTGATTTTTTTCAATTCAATTAGTGTATATTTTCTATGCAAGCACATTGAAACTCACTCTATTCATTTCTCCAAATATATTGGATAAACACACAAATAGAGTTGAAAGAAACAATTTCGAGAGTGAATATTCTACTGGAGACCCAAGCTAGTTTCAATATCATCACTTCAGAGTGAAATTCAATAACCGAATATTACATAGTCACATAAGTTTCGAGTTATAATATAATAGTAGAGAGTAGATACCACTCTATAAACAGTGCCGGATCCATCGGAAATTGATTGAATTATTTACTCTACGTTGATGTCAAATTGCTCCTGCATTGTTCAAATTGACACTACTATTTGTTCAGGTGCTCATAAGGAGTTATCATTCATTCATCATTGTAGATTGATATAGAACACTAGTCGAGTAAACCAGTCACTACTTCCTGTTGAGATTTCATCGTTCAGCGGCGAAGTCTCCGCAGCGCCACCTGTATGCAGTGGCAAGAATTGACGGATGAGAAGTAGTGTGACTTTATGCTATTATAATCGTTTGATATTTGAGAAATGACTCGAGTCCCACTAGACTATATAGTTAACCTATATCTGTTTCATAAATCGTTCGAAATAATAATTCGAAACGGAAAAACCGGAAAATAACTGATATGTATACAGAAATACGTTCATAACACAATATTGAAAAAAATTTCCCACTACGCGGGTATAGTAAAAAAGCTACTTGAAGCTAATATCATGATCATTATATCATTGGCACTATACCTAATCTGTATTACTTATTTCACTAACTAATAAACTGAACGATCTGAAACTGTATAGATTGATATTTCATCGTATATAGATTGAATTGAACAATGATAGAGTGTCAATTTAATCGAAAAGAGAGGAATATTTAAGTTCACTAGTGTCAGTAGACACTAGTATGAATTCAATTTCAATTGTTCGTGAATTGAGTTATCTGAATTGATATTTTATCGAAATTTTAGGAATATAGAATGAATTCGATACGAGAATAGTGAAAATTCAATCTAGAATTAGTTTGAAAGGAGATAATCTGCGAGAAGTGTAGTAATAGAGTTGATTGCAGTATTAGAGTGAGTTTGGCAGAGTATTTTAACTCTAAAAACATACTCTACAGATTTCACTCGAAGCGGTTTTTTACTGTGATCGTCCAACCGCGCCATGTTTGCTGAAGACGAGTGTAAGGGTGATTCACCATACAAGACCCCCCCCCCTCTAGCTCACTTATTTTTCAATCGATTTGAAAATTTGAGAAATCATCTGAAATGATTTTTCAGATTTTTTTTCCGTTGCATCAGAAAATACAGGATGCTCGGAACAAAGGATCTACAGAGTACTACTTGATTCTTTCAAATGAAACACCCTCTATTCCATTGTTTTTTCAGATTCTCCCTGAAGAGCTGATTTCATCAATATATCACACTTGGGGTCTTGCGGGAATCATTACAGAGATATAGGGTGTTCAAAATCGAGATATTTCAACTTTCGTTGAAACTATTCATTATTGGTCGAAAGGGCTTTGAGGTCCCTATCTCAACTTTTGATTTACTATCTACTGAAATTTAAATGTCAATTATTAAATGTCAGTAGATAGTAAATCAAAAGTTGAGATACGGACATGAAAGCCGTTTTGACCGATAATGAATAGTTAGAAAGTTGAAAAATCTCGATTTTGAACACCCTATATCTCTGTAATCATTTTCGCTAGACCCCAAGTGTGATGCATAAATGAAATCAGCTCATCAGGGAGAATCTAAAAATTCAATGAAGAATAGGGTGTTCCATTTAAAAAAATCAAATAGTACCCTGTAGATCGTTTGTTCCGAGCACCTTGCATTTTCTGATGTAGCGGAAAAAACTCTATCAAAAATTATTTTAGATGACATTCAAAATTTTGCAATCGGTTCGAAAATAACTGAGCTAGAGGAGGAGACATTAATGTTGAATCACCCTGTACATCATTTTGAAGGGCTTTTTTAATGTATTCTTGAATCCTTCTATATGGTTTGTGGGGAGGGACGATTCTTGGGTTTTTGGATTCGTGGTAAATAATAATTATATATATAATAATAATATCAAGACACATAAGAAACTGAAATCAGAAATAAAGTTATTTATTACAAATCATTATGATAAGTTGCGGAATATTTTCGAATGAGCAAATATTTGTCTCTCTCTCTCTTTCTCTTCTCTCCTCTCTCTCTTCCTCTCACTCACTCATTATAATACGATTAGTATTCATTCTATTCATTGCATTAGTATAAGTATAATTGATAAGGGTAGTTAGTTCCAAATAAAACATGTATATTACATCTTCTAAATTTGATCATGGATGTATATGTATGTATGTGTATGTATGTATATATATATTTATCCAACTATCTTTACCAGACCCGATACGTTGTACAGGCGACCTCAGACCCACTGGATATATTGATGTGGGGGGAGTGTATTTGTTATGGAGGGGCTTATTTTCATTCATTTAATAAGGGGAAAGTGAGAGGGGTAAGAATTTTTTTTGAAAAATTAAAAGACATGTTGAATAGTCCCTATCAGCCCCGCTATATGAAACAGTCAAATCAGACCATCTGTATGAAACTTAGACGTTCAACCCACGTTCACGAACCCTCCAATGTTGCCACGTTTTCAGAGGTCTGTTAGCGTCGCAATTTTTTATTGACTACTGTTACTCTTGAAAATAATATGTGTATAATTCGCGGACTGGAACTATGACGATATGGACCGGAAATTTTCAACAAGATGTACTACTATATTCAATTTTTGCATCCCTCATGAAATTCTAGGCATAACTTTTTGTATGTACTAAGTGTTTCAAAATTTATTGCAAATATTATTATAAAAAAATATTCGATTTCAGAAATGCGATAGAACATACTCAATACCTATTTTTCAGTTAGGTCTCGATGATGAGGTAATAAGCAAACACCATTTCGGCGTTTCTTTCCATGTGAATAATTAAAAACCTATGGAGAATTATGAATTTCTGAAAACGTTGAAGATGGGTACATATGTAATTTGTCTGAATTTTTCTGAATAATTCAAAATGTGGATGATATACAGGGTGTTGCATTCAAGATAAGAAGGTTGGCATTGGCATTAAGTTCATATTAGAAGGAAAAGCTTTTTTGAAGACCATTCGACGTGACTGAGCATTTTCACACACACACTTTCAGTATTTTATTGTATTCTTCTTATTAGTTTGGCTATCTATAGAATCGCGGTTCTGTAGTTTTTCAAACAACTATTTATTTTCTGTTTCTTTTCAGGTTGGCTATCTATGAAAGCATGTTTCTTTGTTTCTTTTAACTTCTATTTATCACAAAGCTCAATCGCCATATTGTATATTCTATTCTTGGATTTCCCAATTTTGACGAATTAATCATAATCTCTGACCACTTGAAGCCCCAGATATACCTCAGAAACCATTTATTGATAGAATTGTATCGTAATTATAAAACTTGTCGGGGAAATTAGATCGGCCATCATGAATTTCCTAATTTGAAGAAAGAATCATAATCTCTGACGACGGAAACCCCAGATATCAATTTTGAATAGAATCGGAACATTTTTTCAAAACTAGTTCGCCTAATTCAATCCGCTATCTTAAATTTCTTATTTTTGACGAAAGAGTCATAGTCTCCGATCCATAAACCCATAGATATCAATTTTGAACAGAATAACATCATAATTACAAAACCAGTCCGCCATAATATTAGATCCGCATCCTCGAATTTTCCAATTTTGAGAGAATCAAAATCTTCAAATTCTCCAACTTCCAGATACCAATTTTGAATGAAACTCAAATCGTTCGCCATATTGGATTCGCCATCTTAAATTTCCTAATTTTGACGTAAGAATAGTGGTGCCCGCGAAAGTCTCGTTTTCGAGAGTCTGGCATGGTCTCGTCTCGTTTTCGAGACTAGACTCAAGACGAGACGAGACTTTTATTAGTCTCGTCTCGTTTTCGAGACTAGACTCGAGACTAATAAAAGTCTCGTCTCGAGTCTCGTGCAAGACTTCTCGAGTCTCGTGCGAGTGTCTCGCAGGAAAATATTTCTGCGTGCCGACTGCATACTTGAGAATTTCATTCATAATACAACATATTCAGAAATAATTCGGACTATTTAGCACAGATAGACAAAACATTTCATTCATTAATACTTCAAAAACACAATCCATGATCTCTCATGGCGGCGGAAAATGAATGCAATTCTGCAATACCGACAGATCGCAAATTGAATGACTACCTGAAAATCTATAAATAAGTCATTATGTGCTAAATAGTCTAAGATAAAGAATACCTTTGTTTTGACGGGAGTATGGATGCAGGAGCTTCGAAAATATTATTTTGTGCCTCGGTATAATAGAAACACAGATATATTGCAATGGTGGAAAATTCATGCTTCTGAATTTCCCATTCTGATTAAGTTTGAGTAAGCATACCGGCTACTTCAGTCCTGGCGGAAAGATTCTTCTCACGTGCTGCGTTAACTATAAGAAAACATCAATCTGCACGATGTTGAAAAACAAATGTTTTTTCTTCTTGTTTAGATGTATGATGTAAGTATGTACCTATTAGGTACTTACTTTTCAATAAATAATGTTATTTTTGTTGTAATTTTGTCTTCCTACTTCTACATCATACCTACGAAGAAGGTAAAGGTGAATATCCCGTACTAGACTGGAACAAGATTATGCATGACGAAATTGCGATACATTTGCGAGACTCTCGTACGAGACGCGAGACAAGAAGAGACTGGAGGCTGCGAGACGAGACTCGAGACAAGACTTCATATTTCATCGGCAAGACGAGACGAGACTATGAAAGTCTCGTCTCGTTGGTCTCGTGTGAATCACTACGTAAGAATCATAAATATCCGACCCCGTTAACCTCCAGATTCCAATTTTAAATAAAATCGAATCATAAATTCAATCCTCGTCCACCATATTGGATATGCCGTCCTGAATTTTCCAATTTTGACGAAAAAATCAAAATTTTCGATCCCGCAAATCCCTTGATACCAATTTTTAACAAAACCGGATTATGATTCATAAACTCGTCCGTCATTTTATTCGATCCGTCATCTCGAATTTCCTGAATTTGACGAAAGAATCATAATCTCTGACACTGTTAACCCCCAGATACCAAATTTGAACATAATCGGATCAGAATGTCCAAACTTGTCTGCCATATATTGGAAACGCCATCTTGAATTCTTCAATTTTGACGAAAAAATCATAATCTTCGACCACGAAAACTCCCAAAAATACCAATTTTGAATGGAATCTGATCATAATTTACGCACCTCGTTCGCCATATTAGATCTGCGATCTTGAATTTCCTGATTCTACCTAAAAAATCATGATCTCCGACCGCAAAAACCTGTAGATACCAATTTTCAATAGAATCAGATCATGATTTCGAAGCTTATTCGTCATATTGGATTCGCCATCTTGAATTTCCCAATTTTGATGAAGTAATCATAATCTCAGACCACGAAAACTCTCAGATACTAATGTTGAATAGAATCGGATCAGCATAATTACAAAACTAGTCTGCCATATTGGATCCGTCATCCTTAATTTCTCAATTTTGATACTATAATTATAATCTGCGGTCACGATAACCCTCAGATATCAATTTTGAATGAAATCGGATCATAATCACAAAACAAGTCCGCCATATTTAATCTTCAGTCAAACTAGTCATTTCCGAGGAATCTTCTGAAACGAGTTATTGGATTGAATATACGTTTGAGTTCAAATGGAACACCCTATATATTATTCAATATTTGGAATCTCTATGGAACGACCTCCTATAACTATTTTATTTTTGTTAATAAAAAGATGTAGGAAGCCTTACAGGAGATTTATTTTTCTTCTCGAATCAACACGAACATATTCAACATCTGAAGAAATATACAGGGAGCAGCAAATAGTGTGTAAATTTTAAATGGAGCTCCCTATATATTTCCTCGCCATTGCAAAGGTCTATAGAAGAGCTTTCCTAAAATACTGCACCCAATATATTTATCTTCTGTATCTCTCAAACTATGGACTTGAAATACTAACAAAGTTTGATCGATTTTGAATAATTTGCGAAGTATAGGCCTCGTCAATGATTACAATACTTATTGATATTCAGTGATCACTGCCAATGATATTTGATTGTCATAGGTAGCAATATACCGAATATAGAAATGCCATTATTGTCATGACGTTTTTTTTCTGAAATTCGTTCAGAAATCGACCAAGCTATGTTGGTTTTGAATTACTATAAACTGAGAAATGAAGCAGATGATTATATTGAGTGCGGTATTATTGGAAAGCTCTTAGAGGGGTTTTTCCAATGACGAGAAAATTCATAGGGTGGTATATTTTACATTCATGCACTTTTTGATGCTCCCTGTATATCTTCCATGATAGTGAAAACGTGTCAGCTGCTTCAAAAAAGGAGAAAAATGCCATGTGCGTCTGTTTTTTTCATTTCTCTCCTACTGTCAGAAATGAAAGATTTATTGAGGGGGCGATACATTTTAACGTGTCAATCGGTGCAATGATTATGATTTTCGAAGCAAATCTCGAGAAAGTGGTAGTAGTATATTATTATGTAGGCGCCCTAGAAGTGGTTCGGATTCCACTATAAGCTGTAGGTCCCGCTCTTCCTAACTCCGCACAAGTTTCGACTTCTGGGGAGTTCCAACTTCGATGTAGCGATATACACATTTAGTTCGTTGGTAGTATAATATTATGTACTTCGTTGGCATGTTTGTACATATATACCAACTGGCCATCGACCTCACGAGAGGTCCTTCAGCCAATGTGTATTCTGTGTGAGTTTTGTTACGAATTCCATACGCCACCTCAGGAGCAGCACTGTAAATTGAAACGCAACAGCGAATTGTGTGGAGTCATCTCCGGCCGAGGCTATATGAAAATTAGAAATAGAATTTTTATAGATGAAAATTTTCTGCTCTGCCGTGGATTCGAACCCAGCAACATTTAGATTTTCTGATTACTAGTCGAGCGCCACAACCACTGCGCTATTTCGCCGTCTGTCTCGAGACATTTCCCCAGGTGAATATTTCCGTAGTTTGTATTTTGACATCATGAGGTGAGTTATTTCGTGTCTGGTCTGGTCATGATATTAGCAATTGCATATATCCTTCCTAGGTACGCACGATATGTTCCTCGAACATTATGAGGATTCCCTTTCGTGCGCGCCAAGAGATAAAAAAGGCCACAACGTGATTTCCTCGGTGTTTTCGATGCTGTAAGGTTGGATATAGAATGAATCAAATCTGCCCATCAAACGTGTTTTTTTTTAATCACTCGACAGAATCAAATGCAATTATTTCACTTGTTGAATGGTTCAAAGAGGGAATAGGTAGAAAATTATAACAGTCCTAATATGAAGTCCATATGGTATTTTGCTCCAATATCTGTTCATTGTCAATACAAAACAACCATTCACCTATATATTTAATGCCTTGTTCCGCGTTATGAAGAACCTCTTCGTCTACTTATTTTACTGTGAGCGCCACGAATTAACTCACTAGCCATAAATCGAAGAAAAATGCCAGAATTCATCATAACAATCTCCTCACGCAGTGTTGCCAAAATCCGGGATTGAGAACGTCCGTACAATGAAGCGGGTCTGCATGAAGTATATAAGATATACAGCAGCGGTGGAAGCGACCCCTGGTTATTGGTCGTGTGAACTAAATTCGTATATAATGCCATATTTTACCGTTTTTCCAGACCCACCTGAAATTTTGTGTAGAGACCCCTTAAGGCCTATCCAATGTCATAGCATTGAAAAACGTTGTCAGACCCTCGACCGGGTCTGACAACGTCTTTTTTGGTCTGGGAAAGTCGGTAGAATATAGCGATTCGGGTCTGTATAAGCGGTTTAACAAATCTATATATATATATATATATATATATGTATGTACGTATGAGGGCTATACTCATGACTTTCGCAGTCTGAAGTTCCACAATACAAGCTCAGCTTAGGTGGCCTCAGATTGTTAAGCATGATGTACTTCTTTTTTTTTTTTTTGACTTCGTATAATGTTATATTGAAAATGTTATCAATCTGAATCTGAATAAATCTATCTATCTATCTATCTATATCATTTGAAACGTTTCGCCTATGGCCATAGGCTTTTTCAATCTTTAATACTAGCCCACAGCAATATTTCATCGAGGCATATTTGGTCCTTTCACCATATTTCAGTCCCAACGATCCGCCCTCAGCCTATGTCCAGATAGTTATGACTCACCCTGTATATGTGTTTCAGAATGAAGAGGAACAACAATTATTACATAAAATCGATGTGGTAGTTTATAATGACGATGACTGTGAAAGAATTTGGGCGAATGTGACTGACGAAACCTATCCAGAATACAGTTATGCATCCAACAGGACTATTCAGATATGTGCGAAATATCCTCAAACAATTCAAGCTGGAGTCTGTCACGTAAGTCAAATATTCCATGGATAAACAGCTTCTCTTGCTTCATCGCTGTTTCCCAGATAACACCGATCTACTCCTACAGTGAGAGAAAACTTGAGTTATCATAATGGGAAATCTGATAACCGTTATAACGATATCTGCAATAAATAGGGGACAGATGTGTTCATTTGCTACCATAGATGTAGTGAATTTTCAGGTGACTTGTAGTTATGGCAGCTTATTCAATTTGCAAACTTGTATAAAAACACCGCTGCTGAATAACTACTACTTGTTCTAGTTTCTATGATAACACAGAATGTCGAATAGGAATTATTTCCATAAAATGTTGCAGTAACTCTCCACTCTATAGTGATTATTAGACTATCGACATAAAACAGCATGTTTTTATTACTGGCACAACCATCTTGAGGTAACGCAGTGATACGTCTCATTTTATTATAGTTATCTGATATCTGCATGAAACCTGACATTTTGACATGCTATTGTAATATAGGCTCATTCTCAACAGTTATCCCAATATTTTTCTACTCTAGTATATTCATCAAACAGTGGTAATAAGGTTATCTGATCAACATTATTCGATGGTATGCATTATGAAACCGTGCTTTGAATCACTGCAATGAAAATGAATATCCTATCCACACTTACTTTTCATGATCCAAAGTTATTGTTTTCTAAAAGCAAAAAGTCTCTGAATTGAAATATTTGGGTATCTGTGGAAGTTTTTTGACAATACTCACTGATTTCTTCGGAGAAATATCATCAATATATGCACACTGACGGATTTATTAAGAAATGAGAAGTTGAATACTTATACCCTTCCTTCAGAGTTATGATGAAAATTGTCAATAAAACTTCCCTCACAGAAACCCAGATATTTTGATTCAGAATCTCATCGATCATTTTGTTTTTGAAATAAACCAATTTTAGGACGTGAAAGGTGGGTATGGAGAATACTTTTTTCATTGCAATAATGCAATGCACGGTGTATTCCACAGATCGGTTCACAGCCAGCACTAAAACAAAACTTTGCTAAATCACAGACATTCACCCACAAAACACGTCTATATCGAAAACAGCAGTGAAATTGAACTCGATCTGTATCTTTGTCAGCTCCAAAACTAATAAAAAACTATATGCCTCACCCTATATGAGACATATTTTCAGAAGATGACCATATCAATGTTCTATTTTTCAGGGAGATTCTGGTAGTCCATTAGTGGTTGATGGAGTACAATACGGTGTTGTTTCCTATATGCAACTGCCTTGTGGAAACAAAGATTATCCTGTAGTTTTCACTAAGGTTTCTGCTTATTTGGATTGGATAGTATCTAAAATGGGATAGTACTTTCCATATCTACAATGTATATTTTTATCCACTACAAACATGTACAAAATTCAATTATCAATAAACTGATTATGAAATCATTTTGAATTTATATATGCCTCGGATAAGATGAGATTAGATGATTATTGAGTAAAAGCACTTATCAAGTTCAGCTAAAATCTATTAATTGGAATAAAGAAAAATGGAATTATTGCCATAGATGAGACCGTGTTATTGGCGTACTCACAAGAATTGGTATGTAATTTCATGATCTACAGAAAAAAACAATGAGCAGCGTTATGGGTCTGTCAATAGCAACCGTTGCCAAGGTATCATAAAGCAGTAATGGACAAGTGAAAAATAAACAATTGAATGTACTCATATCCAGATGAAATACCTGAGAGAGCAGGTGTCAGTGTGATAATTCTTCAGAACTCAGAATGCCATGTTTATAAAATTCTGAATACTCTGTATCTATATACCTTCCTTTTTGAGGTGCTCAATCATTTTACGGAATATTCGTTTTTCCACCGTGATACCCTTTGTATTGCATTCGTCTGGGTTTTTGCTTTCATGACAAAAGAGTGTTATTCAAGCCTGTCTGCGTATACTACCTGCAGTGTAAACTTTGTCCACACAAAAACGTGCTCCTTAGATTTATGTCGAATACTTGACCATCAACCTTTGTTTGGGAGCGCTGACAGTTTGCAAATTTCTGTAATTTCATAACAGACGTGATGAGGGATTATTCAGAAAATATGCGTACGCTACACAGGGTGTCTGGTAATTACATAGGAAGATTTGAAATGCAGATTCTTTACAGGATGTTTCGTAATTCCACCGACAACGCTTGACAGGTGCCCACTGAACATGATACCTTTCAGAGACATTCATTTCTACCATATTGTGAACTGTTTGAAACGTTATTTGAAACGTAACACAGACATTTAATCCAGGTTTCCCGAATATATTTCAGTTGCAAGAACATGTGATTAAAAAAAGAAACTTCTCAAAAAAATTGCACCCATGTAAGAATTCATGTTCTAATGCTGCTTCTAGTGATGTCTTCGCTTTTTGTTGTGTTGCCTACACCTACATCATAATAAATACCTATCACTATGGTGAATCCCAAATCAAAAAACAGCTGCTGCTGCTACTATACCACGTCATCAATGTTAAACTGTACTCATCATTAAATTTTACTTCAACGCTTATCCAATTTTCTATATTGTTTGTGCCTAAACTTTGGTATCCCGCCTCAAAATGTAGATGAGGGCGAGTAATATGTATATCGTATGTTGAATTTTTTGTTGCTAAAGAAAGGTGAAGGATGGGTATCGCTATAAGATGGTAAAAGGTCAGAGAGAGATGATTGAAACGAGACGAGAGTCAATGATAGCTTAGACAGCGTGAGATGTGCTAGCGCACTTCAGGAATTTTTTTTCCTCTTCCGGTTTTCCTGCAAATGACATAAACTCTCGACTTTCAAATGAAACACCCTGTATTTTATTCCAAAATTGGTTAGAGATTATTATAATGAATTCAACAATACCAGGTTTAATTCGGTTATTTCAAACCATTACGAAGATATTTGCGTTCGAAATTTCCATAAGTTCAATGAGTGTGACAGAGAAACAAGTTTCGATAAAACGCCGTCACATTGAGTCGAATCATCCCTAACATTTATGAATTGGCATTGAAATTCAGGTACACATATGTAAGTACAAAAGTTAGTTATTTCATCACAAATAGTTTCGAGAAGGGGCAATCTCTGAACTCATGTCTATATAAACTTTTTCTTTATTCTAGAATCTGCAGCTTGAATTTTTCTATGTGATTTCGGGACACCCTGTTCAATCATATCATCATATTTATGTGGAAAACTCCTCAAACTATATGATGGACACAAAATGAAATACTGTTTCAATAATTCAACCGAACACTCTGATTTGCCCAACGTATAAAACAGAAGAATAAGATATCCTTCAGATGTTTCAAAGATGCGATCCATTTGTTGATGGCATGTATACACCTTAATACATCTAATGAAACTTCCCACTCGCATAATCAGAGGAATTGAAAACGGCTAAAAGCTTTGCACACAGAAAGCTTTCCAGAGAAACTTTCCCATCCGTTTCAAGGACTAGACTAACAAGGGATTAAAACATGATGAGTTTCTCTGAATTCGTTGGGATAGCCATCGGCCATTGGGTCAGCGTTACTAAAATCATCTAATAGCACCCTAAGGGCCTAGTAGCGATTGGCATCCATAGGACTAGGGCACGGATAGAATGTATTTGGACTTCATTACTCTCCGGAGAAGAATTACGTTGAGGGATGTTCGTTTGTTCCAATTAGTAAAGGATGCGAATACGAATTCTCTGTGCTTACATACTCATGAGTGCATATCTTATAGTTATACTGGATGTCCCGATATCAGCCTGCCAAACATCACCAGCGGCTTTTACTACCATAAATAGAAATAAAACATTCAATGAACATGATTCTAGAAATATCTCCTAAGCAGATGTCTTTTGTCATTAGTGACATCTAGTTATCTAGAACTGTAACTTGGTGGTATTCGCCCCACTCACATGGAACCTAACATAACCTAACCTAATAACCATTTCATCTTTAACCTTCTGAGGGTGAGTATAAATTAAACTCATATTCAGGAAACCGAATCCTCAATAAGAATTCGTCGGGACTTGTTCATTTTTATACTTGGGGGAATCTTTGGTGGGATTATTCTTGACAGTCAAACCAACCGATGCATCGTTTTTAGAAAACCTGTTGTACAGAGTTATTGAATAAAGTAATTAATTGATAATAATCGACAAACCGACACTCTCGTTATAATTTTGAACCAAAATTAAATTGGTGTATAAAACAATTATCAGTACAGCCAATCACAACATTTGTTTAGGGACTGGATTGTTCAATTCAATTCAATTCACTTCAAAATATGCTTTATTTTCATAAGTACAAACCGAGGTACAAACATACTTGTTGACAAAGCATGTTAAATTACATGAAAACAAATAACATTAAAAAGGCAATGTACGATAAATAACAAACAACATTCGAAACCTCGTATACAGCTATGTCAACCTAGTTGAAAATATATTAAGTGAGTTGATTTTGAAATGTTAATTTGAAAAAGATACCTATTTGGAAAACCAGAATTTCATTGGAAAATATTCATCCAGGCTATAGGGTGGAGTAATGCTTTCACTTTATTACAAAACTTATTATCACGTGATAATTCTATAATGTCGTGACGAGACAAGTCATTTTTATATATTATATTATGGAAACTTCATTTCGTAAGTGTTCAGTAATCGATAATAACGATTGAATTTTCATATCAATTTCAATATTTTATAGAGTTCCTGTTAAAGAGCCAATAAAGACTCGCAAGCTTGAACAGAAACAAGAGTACACTTTGTTTTTCTTTGACTGCATACTCAAAGGATATTCACAGTTACATCCTTGACTTAGACAGTAATCTCCTCAATATAGTTGAATGTTGAAGATTCATTCTCTATCACCTTATAGCAGCCAATAATTAAGTTTGGAATTTTGCAATGGAGAGTCAAGATGTTGGTATTCTCAATATTCAGAGATAGTAGGTTTGACTCATTATTTTTGATTCTGAAATAGAGTCATTCTTTTCTTTTCAAAGGATGGAAGGGTGCTCAAAGTTTGAGGCAATTGAGACGCTGCTTGTTTTAACTGATTGTTGTCGATTGATGGGATAAAGTTTTTCATTCATGAAACCATATCGATGCAGCATCCGCAGCCATATTTCGTGATTCGCATTGTCAAAAGCTTTAGAGAAATCACAAAATACTGTCGCAGCTGCTACTGTTTTGTTGATTCCTGAATACACCTGATCCATGAAAGAAAACGGCATCATTCGTGCTTTTCTCTTTCAATCCTGAAACCATATCCATGCAGCTTCCTTAGCAATATTCCGTGATTCACGCAGTCAAAAGCTCTGGTTGTTTGTTCCCCACAGCCTGGGGAACAAACAACCTAGTTGAATTCAACGCCACCAAAACTCAAGCCTCCATTTTCTCTAGAAAGGCGGAACTCAGTATGCCCGATATTGTAATGTCTGGCTCCACCATCCCCACCAAGCCCACCATATCTATGCTCGGTATTTCCATCAGCAACACTCTTTCATGGGATAATCATGTCAGATCCATCGCAAAAGCTGCTTCACAAAACTCGGATTCTTGTTCCGTGCGAAAAGCTACTTTACACCTCAACAGCTCCTCATGATCTACAAAGCGCAGATACGGCCTGTTCTAGAATACTGTTCCCACATATTGGGTTCAGCACCAAAACATACGCTGATGCTCTTAGATTCCATCCAGAGAAGAGCCATTCGCCTGGTGGGTGACGCCACACTCACTCACTCTTTGACATCATTGGAACACCGTAGAAAGGTCAGCGACCTTTCACTTTTCTATCGATACTTCCACGGGAAATGTTCTTCGGAAATCTCTGCTATCATCCCTTCACTAGCAATGCCAATCAGACGAACTAGACAAGCCCAGTCAGCACATCCTTTCGTTGTCAACCTCGAAAGATGTCGAACAGCACTTTATCAAGACTCCTCCATCCATAGAACGGCTAGGCTCTGGAATTCATTTCCTGTGCAAGTATTCCCAACAACATATATTCTCCAAAAGTTCGAAAACAATTCCAATACCTACCTCCTGTCCCTATCCTCCCTATAGGAACGCACGATGTTCCCTTTCGTGCGCTCCAAGCGATAAAAAAAATACTGCCGCAGCTGCTGATCCTCTGTTGTCGCCTAAATACATCTGATTCCTGAAAGAAAACAGATTTTCTCTGGCCAGAATCCGAATGGGCTTATATCACAAAAAAATGTAATTCATAATTCGATAGAACTCACCCAAACTAGCTCACCATACCGCAAACCGTTTCTTGCTATGAGCTCCCTACGTTTTATAAAAAATTATTGAAATCCCCGATTTTTCGGACCACTGAAAACGAGGCGATGATGTGACGTCAAAACCCTAATACTGAAACAAAACTATTT